GCCGCGTTCCAACAAAAGCTGCAGCTTTCGATCGATCGAAAAAGTGGTTAGAAACCACTTTGTCGACGATTCACGCTCAGAGCTCTAACTCCGAGAAACTCCTATTTAGGTTTTTCCATTCCGTCCCAGCTGCACCCCTTGAATGGAGCACCACCACAACCATCGGCTTTGCCATATTGCATTTGAATTCATAGCTTCGCTCTCTGCATTCCCAGACGGCAGCTCTTGTTTCACGCTAGTCATGCGTGCGTCCCGACACGTATTTATGTCGTTGGAGGACTTTTTCGGTGACCAGGATACATTCGTTTCGGATCAAACGAGCGGGAGGCCCCCGTCTCAGACGCGCGAGAAACACGTCGCATCCCAACGCGACGTGGAATTTTTTTCCAACTCGTTTCAAACAACAACGTTTTAATCGTTTCGTTGAAAAGATTACCCCGTACCGAGAAACCAGTCTGATTCTCGAGAAGAATCTGTGGGACGGTGGAGGATCTCCTCCACCTCTTCGCTTTCCTCGTTTACCGTTCGTCTATTTCCGTGTACCTTGGAGGAAATCGCTGTCTGTGATTTATGGATCTGGTAATTGAAACCGACAAGCACCGGCTCGTGTCACCGAAGGGAAAGGGTGGAAGGTTTCTCGTCCACGTGAGAGTTAGTCGTCGACTAACGATTCTTCCGTCAACAGGAACGTTTCCCGAAGAAACCGAGGAATAAATATTTAAATTTCGATTAGGAATGCGTAATGTGAATGCGTGTACATACGTAATTTTAAACTTCGTGAATTAATTTCAGAAGACATAAAGAGCAAAGCGCTCGTCCATCGTAAATAAAAATATCAAATATTTAGGGATATTAATGGTAAAAAAGATAATTAAAAAAAGGGGGAAGAGGAGAGAGAAAAAAGGAAGGCTCCAGCTGGTTACGAATGCTTTATTGAAGAGCAGAGTCTTTGAAAAGGTTTCTCGAAAGAGAGGGTTATTAACCCTTCGAACTCCTCCTCCGCGACTACTTTGCCGCTCTTACGAACGTGAAATCGAACGCACGAGCTTCTCTTCCGATGCGTGAACTTCTGTGGAAATGGTACGCGTGCCAGACACGTGTTCAAGCCACTAACCTCGTATTTTTCTACCCCACTTCCGCCACTAATAACATCTATTCATCACACGCTCTTCATAAACTTTCCAATACTCGATATTCGACATTTTTCTTCCTTTCCCCGTTTTGTGCGCAAACAGGGCAAATAATGTTTTTTTGCCCCTCCTATCTCAACGTAAAACAAGAGAAAAAGAAAAAAAGGAACCATCTGGATACATCCGTGTGCATTTCTCACTCTTCGCATCAAAAATTTGCAATATTACCCGATCGTTTTATTTTCCTCGGATTGCAGGATTTAGAAAGGGAAAATAATAAAAAAAAAAAAAAAAATCTGTAAGACGTACACAAACTTGTTCTTCTTCGAATCACGAGTGCAAAGGTGTAATAAAAAAATGGATATAAAGAATTCGAAAATCTTGGTTGATGGAACGATGATGGTTATTCCGGTGGAGGGGAAGGGTAGGGGGGAAGCGAGGGGAAGCGGCTCGTGTGCTTTCGTGTGGTTTTTTGAGTGGTCCCGAAATATCCTCGTGCCGGGAGCACGAGGGAAGATAAAGAGAGAGGAGAGAGAGGGAGAGAGTGCGTTAGAGCCGTAGAAGAGAGAGATGAGATGGGAATGCCAGTCTTCGGTAACTAGTCATCCTAGCAACGTGCCCTCGCGAGTTCTTGCCGGTTGTGACAAAGGTCGGCCCAAAGAAGAAGAAAGATCCCGTGTTAACCTCGTCGTTCTCTCGTGATTCATCATTGGACGATATTTTCGATCGAGCTACTACTATCACTTTCCATTTCGGAAATGGTGGAAACGATAAATCTGGGCGAAATGAGAGAGCGCGGAAAACCGATTGCAAACACGGTGGTCTAAAGTCGCGAAGTTTCGATCGATGTTGCCTCGATCTTAGCCGCTCGTCCGCCGCGATTCAACGATCGGGCGATAAATGGGCGGCGATCTCTCGGGAATTTAAACGTAGCTCGAATCGATTTTTCGAAATCGCGAGTAATCCTGGCACCGATATCATCGTGTAATAAATATTCTGTAAGGATCGTGGAAGATTAGGGAGCTCGATGAGCCACGATTGAAAATGCCCCTGAAAATCGAAAGTGGCACCTACACGGTGAACCCCGTAGCAAAGAAGAACGTCTCCAAGTTCCTGCTTTGGAAACATTGGCGTAGGAGGTATGACGATGCTCTCTTTTTTTTTCTTTTTTTCTCCCCTCCGTGACGAATTGTTACGATTTTCGTGAGCATACGATTTCATCGATCGTATCTCGGCGCTGGATACTCTTCAGTAGTTGCAAACTATAAGCTTTCCATTTCTTTCTTTTCTCTTCTTTTCTTCTCTTCTAGATAAATAATGCATCGTGCGCGAATCCAATCTTTCATCACCGTAGTATATTTAATTCACCGTGAAATATCGTTTCCATATAAACCTATATATTTAACAGGCGTATTCTCGCAAATGCAACGAACCGTTTTATTTATCCAACAACAGTTTCACTGTTCCCATTGAGACGGCTCCCTTGATCCCTCGTCCCGCGATAATCTTCTTTTCGCCGGTTTTTATTCGACAGTGTCTCGTACTCGTTAAGGTTAACGAGGTGTAATTACTCGATTGAGAAATGAATTTTGACTCGAAGCTAGTGAAACGAAAGCTTGGTAAAAAAATAACGACGCGATCTCTTCGATCGGCGAGCGATCATCTGTTTTAGGTGTCGTTCCGACCGACACCATTTACCAAATTCCCCTACACTTACGCGTCTACGCGTATACGTATATCTATTCATCGTCAATCGCATTCACGATCCGAAGCATGATCCGATCACCTTGCACTATCTTGGCATACCTTTGCTTCGCTGCACGTCACGTACTACGCCATCATAATCCGTAACACGTTTGCAAATAGATGAGCCTGCACTCGACGAGCTGCACAAGAGAAAAGATGAAGTTGTTGCAAATCGAATGTTTCAAAGAATTCGCGCGAAGAAATGGTATCCAAATTGTCATTTGGAAAGCGTGATTGATTGTATAATACAGTCCCATGTGTGTGTGTAACTAACAGTCTTATGTATATATATATATATATATTTTTTTTTAACAAAATTGAAAATCGTTTTTCTCTGTGAATGTGTATGTTTCTTTTTTTTTTTGTCACACGAATAATGTAAAATTATCCAATTAATCTGCGTATTCGTATAACTACTAATCAATACAAGCAATTTTGGGATCCCTCGAATCCCTCTCTCTCTCTTTCTCTCTTTCTTTTTTCCTCTCGATCGATTACTCGTCGCACGCGCAAATCATTCCTTTTGAATGCATGCGATCTCTCGAGAGTGAATCGTAATCGATCGAGCTTCACCGGCTTGTGATTATCGCCACAAATTGGCGCGATTCGTGGAAAATTGCCGCGAGCAAACGAATTAGCGTGCAATTAGTGCACGGTGTTAATCCGACCGAAATAATTAAGCTGCTAATTAGAGAACGATCGTAAATAGCGATGCTAATCTGGAGTTAAAGAAATTGATTTTTAATTCCATAGATCTCTTTAGAGATTTTTACATTCTTCTCGCTTTCAGCCCTTAAACTCTTGAAGCTTTCATCGAATCTTTCATCGATCTTGATTCTCTCTTCATCGCTATTTGCTCATCGCATGTTGAAGCGAAAATGTTGTGAAAAAAAGGGGGGGGAGGGGGAAAAAAGGGAAAATTGGAAACTCGTGCTATGCGCATAATAACATATGTGTCGATTTATTACGGTCCCGTTTATTACGTTCTTCCACCGTACGTGTACGAATCGTAAAATTAGATCCACGAGGATGAGTTTACACACGCGTTATTTGCTTTTTAAAGTCGCGGTACCATCGGGGGGACCATTCTTCTTCCGTGATACACGATGATAAAATTGTTTGCTTAACCAGTGGCACGATTATGCGCGAAATTATCAAGATTCACGGAGCATGCAATTCAGTTAAGCAATCGTCTAATTGTTCCGTACGATTTTCCGCTTTGTTTTCTAATCGTGAACGCGTTATCGTGGCGAAATTACGACGTTTTTTCTTGAATCGATTCTTGAGCGCGATTTTTCTTTTCCTTTGCTCCCCCTTCGTTCGATCGAGAACGAGAGTGAAAGATCGTTCTATCTATTTAAAGGAGTTCGGTGAAAGTTAACATTCAGATTTTTTTTTCTTTTTTTTTTTTTCTTTTTCTTTTTTCTTTTTCGGTTACGAGATAGCACCAGTTTCCAATTAATGGCCGCGATGCCCTCGAGCTTCGTTCCATCGTGAAAAAAAGGATTAATCCGATGCGGTTTTTCTGTCTTCTGTTGAAGGGGGAAGGGAAAACAGGCGGAACGAGTCGAAGCTTGATTCTAATTCGTTCCGCTTTCACGTAATTCCGCCGAACGTTTATAACGTTGATAATATTTCTCCTCTCGAAGGTATAAAAAATTGACAGGCCGACAATGGAACGTAATCATTGGTTGCATTGGAACGTGAAATCGGCACGTTTCTCACGTTTTATTTCTAACGTTGACACGGAGGAACGACTCGAGAGCATCGAGCCAATTGGCGACAAAATTCCACGACGAGTCGTTACGTCGAAGATGATGGATTTTATATTCTGAAATAATCTCTCTCTTTTTTAAACGCGAAATAAAATCTGCCTCTCTCGATACGACCACCATCACCTTCGCGCCAACGAAGAAAAATATACGTTTCGAGGTGTAAGGAAATAATTTCCTCCACCTCGACACGTTTTCTCGTCTCGAAGAAACTCTTTTCGAAGAAACGTCTTCTTCGCGACTGAACGACTGAAATGAAAAATGAAATAAAAAGAGAAAAAAAAAAAAAAAAAAAAAAAAAAAAAAAAAAAAAAAAAAAAAGAAATATGAAAGAGATCGCGGGACAAAAAAGGGGGAAAAAACTCAACAGTGTGCACGAGGACCGCGGGGACGAGGATCGTCGACGGGCCAGCGGTCAAACACGTGGTGGCGGCGAGGTAGCGGGCCTGGAGGACGTCGGCGACTGCTGCGCCGCGACGCTGACGCCGTCGGTCCCAGGCGCCGCCGGCATCAGATCGAACCGCCGCACAAGGCCCCTCTCCCTTGCTGTGCAACCACTTAATTATCGCCGCCTCGATCCGGATCCGAAAATCGCCGTCAACATCGTAACCAGCCACCATCCCAACATGACTAGCCAGGAGAGCATCGGCAGCTGCAGTCTGGACGTCGATCAATCCGCGTCCGACCGATCAGGTTGGCTATCTTCGATGTCTAGCGTTTTTTTTTTTTTTTTTTTTTAAAGGCACAGGGAGGAGAGGGGAAGGAGGATATCTCGATACGCCGGTAGTCTTTTTTTGCCTATGACGTATCACGCCCCGTTCCTCCTCCCGTCCGTGAATAGATAAAGATCAGGGAAGGGGAGGGGGGGGAGGGGGGGGGGAAGTTGACAAGGAAGTTAAAGAGCGAGCGTGTTATTAGCATTTTATCGGCTGAAATTCACAATCGTAATTGTAGTAGTAAGCCGAGGCGTTTTTTTTTTTTTTGCCGCGCCCCCCAGCCGACAGAATGGTAAAAATTATGGAAAATTATGGTTCGGGTGCGTTTGAGCGCGGATCGCGTTGGAATTGGATCGCGTGGAGGTGTTATCCATCCGTGGAGGAATCGAGGGGTCGTCCCCTCGAGGATGACCTTGCACTTGACGCGTCGTCGAAGGCCACGCAGAACGGGACATTCATCGTTGCCGAATGCAACGAATTTTAGACGGGACGATCTTGGAACGTTCAAGGTTACCAGAGTTTCCCTCCACCTTCTTCTCGCGGATCGTTCCTTTTCGGCCGCGGGTGCCGATCGAATTTAGATCGTAGACGAGTGCAGAAGCAAGTGCAGGGCAACCAGCTTCTTTCTATCGCCAGTGCCAAGAAGAGCAGAGGAGATGCAAAGAGAGAGAGAGAGAAAGAGAGAGGCGTTTCTCTCCTCTTTTGCATCGTGACTCTCGGCCAGCCTCTTGCCATTCCAGGGTTATTCCTGTGTCGCGTCTCGTACGGGCACGTTTCAACATTTCCGTTTCGCCCTCTCTTCGTAATCTCCGCTTCTATTTGTCCGCCGGGGATAAATCCGCTTCTTCCCTTCTTCTCTGTGGCTGGTTTCTTTTCTTTCGCTCTTCATGGGATTCGTGTTCAAGTGTATCATCGTTTGGATCGTTCTCAATTCTCAACTCTCTCTTTCTCTCTCTCTCTCTCTCTCTCTCTCTCTCTTTTTCTCGAGGATTTGAAAAAGGCTCGCGGTACAAACCGATCGACTAGACCCTCTTCGCGATTGGCATTGCGTGCGTTGAGATAAGAATTATGAGAGAATATGAGATCGGATCGATATGAAAATTAGAGTGCGTTATGGAAATGTAGAGGAGAGCGTGGTAGGTCTCGTCTCCATTCGACCGGGTCTCGTGTATCAAACGGTGGATTCCCCTTTGCAGAGAATACCATAGATACTATATCGAAGAAGACGTTGCACAGTCTGAATTTATCTTGCAACGGTGACTCGGTTTCTTCGTCGGATAATCTGGCAAACGGTAGCAGTGAGACGCTGCAGAAGTCGCATTTAACGCCAGATGAGAAATTGAACGTCAGCAATGGTCATCGAAGCAGTCCGGAACCAGAGCAGCTGACAGTGAAGAAACCTAGTTACTTGGGCCTGGCGTGTAGCATCAGCGGTTATTCCGGGATCAATAGATACGATAGCAAACTCAGGGAAGGATTTCGATCGAGGGACAGTAGCCCTGGGACCAGGTTGATCACTCGAGACACTAGCCCAGCAAGTTTCAGGTAAGAACAATTCTCGACCGAGTTGTAATTTCTCTTTTTCCTTCTTTCTAACACGTTTCCACGAAATTGTTTCTTTCAGATCGAACGAATATCTGAACGTACCGGCGCATCCTCATCCACCTAAGAGCCAATCAATTTCCCCTCTAGCTATGGACAGACAAAACGGTTTCTCGAACGGTTTGAAGGAAGAGTGTAAAGTGGAGGCTTACAGGGAATCGAGAAACTCGATAGGTATATATCAGGGTTACTCGGAAGTCGACAAAGGCGTCTTGACGACATTCCCTGAAATTAGCCCGGTCATATCTTCCACACCTACGAAACGCAGCCCTGGAGTTTCGCAGATGATGTCTTGTAGCCAACAGAACAAACATTTCTCGGTAACTTCCCCGAAGCGAGATGCCGCCAGTCGTGAGTAAAAAAACTCGATAAAATTGTTCGGGTATCATTTCGATCGCGTTAAAGTAAATAAATTTTCTTGTTATCATGTACGAAATGTTTTCAGTTGCGAGCGTCTCGCTTAACGAAACGAACGTATTGAACGGGTCGACGGAGGAAGTAGGTAGTCAGATGATGAGCAACACTCCGAGCAGCGAGAAATCTTTCATCCAACAGCGAGTGGAACGGCTCTACGGGCCCGGGGCTCTCGCCCAGGGTTTCTTCTTCAAACGCAGCACTACCAGGCTGAACACTAGCGATACCGTTTCCAACAAGTCTAGTAACAACAACGACGTTTCGATAGAGAACGCAAATACGGAGGAATCGTTGAAGAATTTGCCCGTGTTGAGACACCTGAGACCAGAGTTTCGAGCTCAACTTCCCGTGGTCAGCCCTAGAAGACCTACGGACGGCTCGGAACAAATTCTCAAACCTCTGCAAAGGTAATTCTATCGGTCGAGTCGGTAAAGGACGATCACGTTAAACGATACGCTAATGATGGGGATACGATTACTTTCTTCTTTTTTCTTTTTTTTTTCTTTATCGTGTCAGGGTGTCGCCGGTGTCTCGAAAGGTCGAGCAGAAACCAAAAATACCAGCTGCTACGAATTTAGATGGGAATTTAAGCGATAGTAACGCGCAGGAATTAAGTTCTAGCGTGACTAGCATCCCGGATCAACAGCCAGCTGCGCCAAAAGTAGTCTTACCTGTCTTAGAATCGAGCGCCAGCTCGACAAATGTGGCGAAACAGGTTCAGGAGGCGGAGAAAACGGTCGAAGAGAAAAATGGACATTACTTTATGAAGGTATACCTAATTGGAATGAAGTTGGACGTTGAAAGAAACGTTTACCGACATTCTTCGCTCGATTGTTACAGTTGCTGAAACAGGAGACGGACAGACTGCTCTCTTTAGCCGCGTTAGCGGAAGCGGAATTGTCCAGTAGTGGCGATAGCGTCCCACTTCCGGAAGAGGCAGCCGGAAAATTGCGCTCAGCCGCTGGCAAAGCTAGACTACTCGCTTCCCAAAAGATGCAACAATTCGAGGGATTGTGCCAGAAAAATATCGTAATATCTCCATTTATCTTTCATTTTATTCTAATAAGAATCGAATAAAATAGTAATTCATAAATTCACAACGAGATTAAAAACGTCTTTGGATCCAGAACCAGGTACCTGGCGAGGAATTCCCAACGACGAACGAAGATCTGGCTGGTTTCTGGGACATGGTGATGTTACAAGTGGTCCAAGTAAACGAACTATTCGATCAGATAGAAAAATTGCGCAGTTCTCAGTGGCAAGAGGTACGTTCAGTTTCTGTTCATCCTCAGACAATCGATTCTTTGAAGCCTCTTGAGAACAATTTTTATTCCCACGAGAATTCCCACGTAAATAACGTAAAGCCAGCTGAACTACCCACCCGTACATACTGCTCCCAATCTGTTACCGCTAAACGTGTACGATTCGATGATAAAATATTCGTCAGAGAGGAAAAACCGAATTACGTTAAAAAAGATTCCTCTGTATCCCAAATACAATTCCCGCTCGAGGCACGTTTATGCGACGATGTGTTCCAAGGTTTAAACTTTCCCCAAAATTTAGAGAAGCATGGGAACTATTATGAAGATTATGATCTAGATTACGAGAACGATCCGTTTCTTTGTGAAAATTTAAACGAGATAAAATCGATGGAAAATGATAGCATTCCTCTTAATCCGTGCACTTCGTACGTAATCAATTACGTGAAATCGTTACAGCCTGACGTGAATTCGTTTTATTTTGAGAACGTTACACCGTCATATGATAAATATAATTTATATTCTGACGACGATTATCTTGAGAAAGATTTTTCGAGGAAATTCGAAGTGATTTATAAGAAACAGAATGATGAGTTTAAACAGAGGAAAGATAATTATTATTGCGACAAGGCACAGAATAATTCGTTTACGAAAAATAGGCAAAGTGACGTGCAAGAGAAAAAAAGTAACACGCACAGCGGTGGAAAGAATATTTCTCAATTTGTCAATAAAAAAAGTATAGTCGAGGACAAAAAATTGGAAAGCATTCGACCGAAAGCTAAGTCCTGTAGCCCCGTAGGGAGGATACTCAACAACGAGACTAATCGAAGAGCAAGATCGCATACTCCAGAAATCAAGCCCCAGAAAAACAATTTAATTAAGCCACGTAGTGGCGACGCGCAAAAGCCTTGTAATTTAAAATCTATCGTTACGCGGAAACGGGAAGAGAAAGTTTCGATTCCATCGAAAAACGACAAGTTTCCTTATAAAAGTTTCTCTCCGCGTAAAGAAAATGTTAAAAATGTCGTATCGTTACCAAACGATATTAAAGAATTGTCAAAAACGAGAAAGAACAGTTTATCGGCTGATAATCAGCCGAAAACCGAAAAGGTTATCAACGATAAAGTTGATAAAGATAACACGAATAAATTATGCGCAATAAACATATTGCATGGGAAATTAGAGAAAAATTTTCTTGCGATAAATAAGAAGAACGTGAAAAAAATTAATCATAATTGTAAGAAGAAGTTTAATTTTTCTATCGTGCGCGATATATGGTCGAATCTCGACGTTACGGAGAATAAGCACAAATCGCAAAGTAAGCTAAATACGAGCATGGAAAATTGTACTTATTCTGGAATTTGGAAGATAAAGAAAGATCTAGAAGATTCTAAGAAAGAAAAAGTAAAAGAGAGAATAAAAGTATCGCCTAAAAAGTTCGAGCGAGAGTCTAGAAAAGAGCAGATAAAAGAATTGCCTAAAAAAATCGAGCAAGAGTCTAGGAAAGAGCAAGTGAAACAACAATTGCATAAAATGGTGAAAGGAGAGGCAGAAGTCTCGTCTGAAACATCCAATAACATTGCGTGGAGATTAAGCGATTCGAAACCTTTCATTCCATTGTCCCAAGAAACTCTTCGCCAATTAAGGCAAGTGTACAATATCGAGCATCACTTGAATATATCTGCAAATTTAAACAAATCGGAAAAACTAGAAAGAATGAAGGTTTACGATAAGAAGAGAAAAGAGAATGGCAAGTTCCAAGAGGACGAACTCGTTAAAAATAATTCGATCACGAGTAATTCTTTATACGATACGTCAGAGGATAATATTCCAAATTCGAGCTTTGTAAATTTACAAGATGATTTGAAAACGAAAGTCGAAATTTCAAATCCTATATCCGAAGTTATAAATTCTATGCCTAAAAGTCGTGATTTTTCGATCCAATGTCTAATTTCTAATTTGACGTCCAGTGTGGTAGAAACGAAAAATGAATCGACTTTCTTCGCAAATAATATCACCGACAATATCCCGAAAGTGTCCAAAACGGATGAGATAGAGAATAAAAATAACGTCACCGACAATGCCTTAAAATTGTCTAAGAAGGATGACGAGATGCGGGATATAAATAATGTGACGGATAATATCACAAAATTGCTTAAGAAGAACGACGAGATGCACGATACGAATAATACCGCAAATGATATCCCAAAATTGTCTAAGAAGAACGATGAGATACAAAACTTTTTGTCCACTTTAATGTCTTCGTTAAGTGCTGATATTGTGTCTAAAGTCGCGAATCGTAATGCCTCTAAATTAAAAAATAATTTAAACATTAAAAAATTAAGTTACGGTTTAATTACAAAAAATATAAAATCGTCAGATGTCGATGCTAACGTAGTCATGGATATTTCGCAACATGTTCATTCGGATTTCGTTATTCGTCCCTTATTCAATCAAAAAAATGGCAAAAATATTAAATCCATTAATTTAAACAATTATCTACCGTTGAAAAAAGGATTTCACGCGAATCCTTATTTCGAAGAATTGAAATACATGCAATTGTTTCCGGACAATATCGAAATTCATTCGAATTCGCCTAATGCTAAAAATTTCCTCAGAATGAGGCACATATACACGTTTCTCAAATCGAATCGAACTCTTTGTAGATTATCGTTGTATTTATATGTATACGGTATTCTGAGTCTTGTTCTTATATTTTTAAAAATCGGCTGTTACATCCTGAATCCCAACGTTTTATATAATTTTTTCTAAATTAAATCACCATTAACAACGATCAAATGTAATCCCCTTGCATTTCTAGAATAAATGTCTTCTTCTGCCTCCGGTATTTCTTTAAATTTTTGCAAAAGTATAAAAGCAAACGAGGATCAAAGAATTCATCACCAGTTTTAGAAAAATTATCAAGAAGTTCAAGATGGATCATACTTCTATAAGTATGTTTTTCCTCGCCATCCACCTTTCCCTTCATCTTCTTTCAATTCATTTCTTTTCAACCTTGATTTCTTCTCCATTCCTCTTGATTTCTTTAAATTTCTCCAACACCTCTGTCTATCGTTATACTCTCGACTCTTTAATAATATCTCTCTAATTTTTTCCTTTTTTTCTTTTTCTTTTTTTTTCCAGACCGTGCCGGAGAAAAAGACGATTACTTCAATTCCGCAGAATGGTAGCACCGCAAAACGTCGCGTCCCACCAATTCACAAATCAAAATCGACGGCCAACAGCGAGGCGAATAAAAAAGCAAGGGAGGCGAGAGAACAAGCTCGAAGGCAATTGATCGAGGAGAAAAGACGAGCGATGCGCTCGAATGCGAAAAATTCCGAGAATACCGTAAAGATCTTCGCCCCCGATACGTAACGAAAAAAAAAAAAAAAAAAAAAAAATAATAACAATAATGGCGGCGGATCTGTTGAGTAATTTTTAGCAGCGTTTTTTTGGTGACGCTTACGCCTCGAGCCAAATCAAATTGCGGTATTTTTTATGCATTTTCTTGAACAACTCCGAATCTCGTCGAGCTGTCTGGCGAACAATTGATCGAAGCTTTTTCATTGGCGATTAAATACGATGCTCATTGGTTCGCGTTCGAGCCCGACAAGCCTATGTTATTAATAGTTTGATGACAATTAAACGCCCAGACTGCTCGATATGTGGAGTTGATTATAAACAATTACCGATATGCTTCGATTACAATCAAACTCGCTTTATATCGTTAAATAGGGTTGAGCGTTGTGGGGCACCACACGAGCAATAAAAGGCCGATTCATGGTATATAATTGATAGATGATTAGGACGATCGATTTTTTTTTTAGAGATTGATTTTTATATAAAATACGAAAAAGAACTGGATCCAGATTAATACGAAATGAAGTTTTTAATGATTTTATTAATGATATTTTATTAATGATGTTTTTCGTCTCACGCTCTGTCTCACACACACGTTCGTTTCACTTCGATTTTACACGCTGTGATGTTTCGTGCTAATCTTGTTACGTTTTATATCAATTTACGCTCTCGTTCGATTTATATAATACGATATTTAACGTTCAATCTACGAACGGAATAGCACAGTAATTTTGAGAGCATTCTCGGCTCTTTGTTTCACGTTTCTTTTTTGTAAGATAATTATGTCGAGAAGAAATCGATGGGGAAGAAGAAGTTATTCGATGAGAAAATAAAACAATCCGGATGATAAACGAATGGTAAAAGATATTTTGATTTTTCGTATTAGAAACAATAAAGAGACTGCTCCTTGTCTACAGGAATTTTTATATATATATATATATAAAAAAAAAAAAAAAAAAAAAAAAAAAGCTGAAAGAGAAAAAAATTATTCGAGCCGGATTGTCAGATCATGTTTCCATAATTGCGTTTCTTCAGCGATCACGGGTAACTTATATTTATATATAAATTACATGTGGAAAGAAACGATAAATGATCGCTAATGAATTTAAACTTAAAGATCAAGAGGATGAAAAAGTTTATAATTTATCCTGAACTTGTCCTGTTAGTCACAAATTAGCAATTTAATAATAATAATAATAAACTTGGTTCAAGAATTTAAAGACAAATACTTGAAACATATTGGTTGAACCTTGAACCAGATATATAATTCTTATCGCATAGTTAATGTACATAATATTAACGATCGTTTACAAGCAAACTGCATTTGCCTAATGAATTCTGTTTGCAAAACGTCGATGAACGATCGAAATCGAGAAAGGATATCGTGAAGCTGAAAATTAAAATCAAGAAAGATTCCTATTATTTTTATTATATGTATCATCGTTTTTTTTTTTTTTTTTTTTTTTTCTTTTTTTTAACGTCTCTAATTAATATTACTATTTTTTTAAACTTAATCGTTATTTTGATCGCGTTGATTAACACCTCTCGCGAGGAAATCTCCCTTCACCCTCCACCCTTCCAAAAAAAAGGAAAAAAATGAAATATCATAATCGTTGAATTAATTTTGCAAAATGCATAATAGAATAGGAAGGTAAAGTGTGTTAAGAGTCCTAGCGCAAAAATCACACGTTTGTCTTAAACTGACATTCCCGTAGAGAACGGTCTTCAGATAGTTTAATTCCCACGTTAATTTTAAGATGTATCTGATAGATAAGCTGGCGTTAGCAGGTGTAAGTAGAGCTCGTCCAACCAAATAACACGCGCTACCTAATTAAATACTCGGTAATATGATGGTGAGTGTGTCGCGATATTTTCACGATGGTATCGATTTTAAAATACGCTGATGAATTTTATCATTAATTGCTCCGTGCTCGTTGAAGGGAAAGGCAGAACGAAAAAATGAAATAAACGAAAAAAAAAAAAGAAGAAGAAGAAGAACATTTTCCGAAGCGTCGCTCCGCACGCGAATACACGCAGGAACGACGTATCAAGCCGCGTTATTTATTGACTGTTAATTCCCTTGGTGCCTTGATTATTTATATACGTGTGTACATAAAATCGACTGACAGCCGACGATTCTCTCGTCGATATTTACGTTCGATCGCTTTCGATCGGAAGGAAACAACAAACGAGTCGATAAATGAGAATGAAATGAAGACACGTTTGAGAGCTTCTTTCTTCGATCAATTCGATCGATTGATTAATTTCATCCGCGCACTCTCGATCGAGGAGGCAAGGAATCGAGGTTATTCACTTTTGTTCTCATTTATCCGTTTCGCCTAAAAGAGGAAAGATAATTTTTGACAACGATCTATTTTAGATTTTTCGAATTAGCGAGTTTATCCAAAAATTTTTTTTTTTTTTTTTCTTTCTTTTAATATTTCATCGATTATTTTTTAACCGCAACAACAATACCGTATACCGCGAACGACTGTATGCGATGCATGAGAGATTATTATGTGTGGCTGGAGAAAAAAACGAGCGATTGCAGGCAAATTTAATTAATCGTGTAATTTACAGAAGTCGATATTGTATTGTGTATATTGGCCAGCACAACAGAAATCACACGTATCGCAATTTGTTTTCTCTTGTACTCTTATTATTATTATTATTATTATTATTATTATTATTACTATTATTATTATTATTATTATTATTTTTATTATTATTATTAGTTTTTCAAGAATTGCATCTCGATATATCGTTTTACGTGTACAGTCCGCGTTTAGGGGCTCACCTTAATCCACACGTAGTAATTTATATTCAAGACAAGTTCCCCCGTTGCTTCTTTTTGTAAGAACCATACACACACCGCGAAGCTTCTCGAGAGATCGATTCTAAGCGTATACGAGGATAATCGTCGTGACGATTACATTCATCGATTCTTTCTGTCTCTGTTCTCTAATTTCTTCGAAACTTTCGTCACAGGTGACTATGGTTTCTTTATGGAGAAAGAGTGTCCTGCGTTTTTATTTCATATAAGAAGTCGAACAATTATTCCGGAAACGCAAGTTTTTTTTTTTTTTTTTTTTTTTTTTTTCTTTTAATATATCGTTCGAAGAGATTCGATGTCGCATCGACCGTCGAACGTTTCCCTTTCTCTTTTTTTTACACGAATTATTTATTATTAGATAATAGTAAGCTGACCATACACTTGTTCTCAATGAATTAATAAAAAATGATAGGAAAAAAATATATTTCTTTCTAATTTAAAGACACGACGAAGAAGAAACGAATTTTTCAACAGTATATCCTTCATTTATTTCTTCCTTGTATAATACATAATTTTCTCTTATCTCCTACGAATATCCGTATCATGTACATTTATTTTGTATAAAAATTGTAGTATAAAAAAAAAAAAAAAAAAAAAAAAAAAAAGAAAAGTACGTTCGATCGTACTTATCGTGAAACACAACTACAACGCTATATTTCGATAGAAAACCTGGGGAAGAATTTAATTGGCACAGAATAGATTCATTTTTGGGATATAAGTAATGCTCCCCGTCCGAGCAAAAATTTAATTTCACTCCGTGAAGAAGAAGAAGAATCACCGACCTTGATCCTCGATAAATCTCAATTTGGTCCCGCGATAAATTTCCTCTTTTTTTTCTCTCTCTCTCTCTCCTTTCGTTCTTTCATCCAACGGATCCAAGAGGGAGAAATTATAATATTATTTGGCATTTTCCTTCATCACTTTTCCGGCACAGAAAATCCGTGATGCGGATGTTCCAAAAAAAGGCATCGATCAGATGATATACAATTCCCCAGTTTTTCTCGTTTCACGCGAGACAAATCAAAGTTTTCCCCTCGTTCATCTTGTCTTGAACTTTGTCGCTGGCTGTGGACTTTTCCGCTTGGCCACTGATTACTGCGCAAATAAACGTCAACCCGACCCCTATCACGGCACTATAAAAAGCCCAACCTGGAAGATAAAACATTTCTTTTCAGCCCTTCTTTTTTTTTTTTTTCTTTTTTTCACTCAGCGATAGGGGGGCCAGATAAAGTAGAAGAAGCTTCCCGTTCATCTTTGTTCGTTTCTCATTTTAAATTTCTACCTACCTAAGGAGCATTCAGCTAGGTAGAAAGCATCGGCTTCCGGTCCACAGATCCTCTGAACCCTTTCTGCGCCCCAACCGGCTGGATACAAAATCATTCCCAACAGATAGAATATCCCTGATGGCAAAAGGATAAGTAGAATTATCGATGGATCGAAAAAAAATTATGAAGCGTGCATTACATCGAAGTGTTACAATATTGGAATATTTATTACCAGCGATGACTTGCGCCACACCAGCCAAATTGAAGATGCTTTTTCTGCCGATGCTCTGCATACAGCAGCCAACCAAAGCTGCCAACACCGTCATCGCCATAATCGCCAAGCCAAAAGACAAGAAGAAGTACGAGGCTTTCCAACAGCCTGGAAATACACTGGAATCCGTGGCGAAGCCGTCCAAGTTAAAATTCGCGCAATGAGTCTTCTTCCCGTGCAGCCTGATGCAACGATTGAAAATTCCAACTGTCGGTACGTAGGACTCTGATCCATTCTCTGATAATTGAAAAAAGAAAGAAAAGTAAAGTAAAATAAAAAGCTATTCTTCTATATAACTTTTTCGTTAAAAGTTTTGAACGAATTATGCAAAAAACCAAGGAAAAAGAGTGGAATCTCATTAAAGTTCAAGTCTACTTTCGATTACATTCCGTTAAGTGTAAGTTGTTTGGATCGCACGATAATCGATAGGAGGAAAGAATAGAAGAGAAAATAGTTACTCGTGTCTTTCATCTGCGGTCCAATCAGCCATTTTGGAGTGATGAGGCCCGATAAAACGGCCATTAACGCCACCAGGGACAGCAACGTCCACAGCAAACTACGACCAGTGACTATCACATAGCACATTGCTGCCGTTCAATTGTATGCCGCCTATGCCATCCTTCGAGCTCCGAATCTCCCACTGTAAAACATTTCCATTCCATGGATATTAATTCTTTGAAATTCGATCGAAATCCACGGTGATCGCCACTGTGGCGTCCCCCAAGCTCGATCGTACGCATTTCTTCGGTGGAGAGGCTAATTGGAAAAGATGACTCGTGCGACCGGTGGACACCCTTATCGTGATTCAGTCGGCTCGAGGGGTCAACGAATCGACGAGAGTGCGGAGTTTCGGGCAACTGCGCGAGAATAAATGCCGCTCACATATATTTCGGGGAAACGTTACGTACGGTCCCCTTTCCCGCGAACCAACGAACAGACCCGCATTAAAAGTAAAGTCGTAAGCTTGACCGCGCACCTCCCCCTCCTCCTCCTCCCTTTTTTCCCCTTACCGGTTTCGATTTTTTATTCTGATTTTGTGAGAATCGTAAACTCGTGCCCGCCAACAAAGCATCCTTTTCTTCGGTTCGCTCGTAAAACTAGCGAGTTCGCGACGATTCGAATCGAAGTGGTTTGTAGATCGAACTAGAGGAGGATAGAGAAGGAAGATCTCTCGGAGCGTATTTATATATACGATTCGAAATTTATTGCCAATAGATATACATCGGTAGTCAATATTGACTAACCGTGTTATTGTAGTATTCTCAGAAATTTCCAATCTTCTATTCAATGTTCCATTCAACCAAGAATCTTTGGTCGGGAAACGGAGAGAGATCGATCGGAAACAATCTGCCCCTCCCTCAAAACTGACCTATTTCGCTTTCTAACTTTAGATCGACGTAGGTTTGGGATCCGTGAGATGATTTATCGGGCGGTGGCCCTTGGAGCGCGCGTAGTCTTCCCCCTCCCCAATCGAGATTTTCGATTCTCCTCTCTTAAAAACCCGCAATCTTAATCGTTTTCGTCCGTTCGTTCATCGCGCGTCGGACGAGCGATCCTCTTTGATGTACGCCGCGAGCCGGCGAATCGTATCGGATGGAAAACGGATGGAACGGATTCTGGAACTCTTCTCTGTTCTCTTTTATCCAGAATAGAAAAGAACGAGTGCGAGAGAAGTTTTTTTTATTCTCTATACCTCTATTAAATACTCGAAGTAAATGGGAAAGAAAGAAAATTTGGTATAAATATTTGAAAATAAAAGAGGAGACAAAGCGGGGAAAAGACGCGAAGAAAAATATTAAAATGGAATAGACAACGCCAATGATCGCATCGCATCGCCCTCGGTAGTGGCGAGCATGGAGGGAGGGGCGATGTTTAATTAAATTCGTTCACGCTGTACATCTGCCGCTCTTATTTTTGTCATTTCTTGCTCGCGACCTCCTCGGGAACCACTTGAAGGGCCGAGTTTACTTAGGATCGCCTCTTAATCGCTGTTTGTATTTATACTGTCTCCGTCGAGTTCGCGTTGGATTTAACGAATCCCCAAACACCGGAAGCGTTGATTCACGTACGTAGAAACTTCTTCGCTATTCCATTCGAGCAAGCTTGGTTTCGACATCGAACATCTGTCGCTCTTCTAAAAAGAAACACATTCGGCATTCGTGCAATCCTTTCTTTTTCTTTTCTTTTATTTCACGATCAAGTGTCTCGTGAAAATGTTTGGCGACACGTGATATCGATAAATCGCGATTCGTGTTATCCGTTCGAAGAAGAACGGACGAGATAAGAGCTCGCACGTAGGCCGACTACCATTCGACGGACAGACTCTGTCGTTTTTTTTTTTTTTTTTTTTTTGCCCATTTTAATCGTCGCGTTCATTGTTGGTGTCCGTGCCACGCCTTGTTGGTTGTAGAGTGCAGCAGGGGCCCATTGTCTCGCCACTGAAGTCCCCTCCTTGCTGAATTAATTTTCGATGTTTAATTCGTTGGAAAACAGCGGAGTAATAAGGCTTCCAAGCTAAGTGGAACGAAATTCTACACGGATTTAAAATCGTCGTCGAAGTTAAAATCCGATGGAATTTCCGATGGAACGGAGGATTGGAATCAAGGTGAAGGGGAGACAAGGGAGAAGTGGTACAGAAGAAGGAGATTTTCGCGATGTTCCTGAAATCTCTTCCTCTCGCATCAAAGGAATGCATACATCTTTCCTTTCCTCTCTCGTGTGGCCACTGGAGAGGCTTCGACCATTAGTCATCGAGCAATGGGTCCTCTGTCCGGCAACTCGTTATCAGAAAGGCGTAAGTCGACGGCCAGTGCGAATTCCACGCTCGTAAATTCAAATCACACGTTTCCGCCGCCGTCGCCGCCGCCCCCTCCCCAATCTACACGCTACACGAAAATACGAATCCTCTTCCTCGTCATCTTCGCACGTTTTAATCGTTTTTAATCTTGAACGGGTATCCCTTTCCTTTAACTCCTCCTTCGTTTCGAAACTCGAAAAGAGCGTGGAAAAAAAAAAAGAAATGGATCGAAGTGAAGACGTTGGCAAGATTGGACAAAATGTTGACAAAATTTAAAACAATCGGCGTTCGATTACAGAAACACGAGACACTTACCATCGTTGCATAATCTAGCAACGATGCAGACCATCTGCAAGGCAGCTGTTGGACAGGTGCTCCCTTACTCCTCCAGTCTCTCTCTCTCTTTCTCTCTCTCTTATTTTCGTTCCCTCTTTCTATCCAGAGATCCTCCCATGCTCACTTTCTTCTTCTTCTTCTTCTTCTTCTACTTGTTCCTCCTCCTCTTCCATTCCTCCTCCTCCTCCTCCTCCTCCTC